GGTACCAAAATTCTTGGAAGATTGATGGTTAACTTTTGAATCGCCTAGAAATTGCAACCTAACTAACCGTTAGCCAATATTGGTAATATATAGGAGATGTGCTATCTTCCTATATTTTAATACCATGTTTATCCGATATTGATCCAATATTAATAAAAGATATTTGGCAATAACTTTTATTTATATTGATATGTAATATTTACCCAATATTGGTAATATATATATAAGGGATGTACTTTTTCCTTATTTATATATAATATTTATCCAATATTGATCCAACATAGATAAAAATGTTTGGCAAAATTAAAGTTGATCGATAATAACTTATGCAACATGGACATACAAGGTTTAAAGGAAAAAAACAAATCACCTTACTAGGTAGGTATATGTACGTAGATACGCTTTCGAAAACGCTTCTTAAAGACTCGAATTTCCATGGAAAATGGAGTGAACCACGCGCCTTCTATGTTTTCCATGAGACGATTATTCAGTACAGAAAGCTGTCGGGGAATACTTATTTGTACAAGACAGTGGAAATTCCTAAGCGGAAAACGTTTGAAAAACATTCTCGTATAAAATATATCACTACGTTCTGCGACTCGTTCTTCGAGCTTTTTGCCATTCTTTTTGCACAAACAAAACAAGGGAACGCAACTATTGCGCTCCGACCTATTTTATGAACCTTTAAATTATCCATCGTCAAAAGCAAGCAATAAAAATACCCATTTTATGCTTGTTGTCCAATTTTACGAGAAGTTATTACGGAAATTGTTTGAAGACTTCCAAAAGGAACACGTCAGAATTGGTTCTAAATCTCCGGTGGTCCCTATAGGTACTCGACAATGCGATGGTAAAGATCTCATCACAAAACTCACACATTCCTCTAAATTGTATTGTTTGTGATATTATTCCGGTAAGTATACTTCATTTACTTTCTCCAGCGATGTGCCCCTTCCAGTGTATTGGATGCGCGCTGGCAAAATCGTAGGTAGGGAGAAAAAAGCTCATTATACTCTCTACTCTTGTTCATTAAACATACTTTTTCATACAGTACCTGCCAAAAGTTTTATTCAATCATGAATAGTAGTGCGAGTCGAAAACATGCGTTAAAGCCTTTAATATGTCTTCAAATATAAATAAACATCTAGTTGATATTTTGAGTAGTAAATGGTACCAATAACGGTACATTTGAACAATGCAGTTGTAGTGGATAAAATAGTCAATTTTTCCGTGCAGTACTGTACGGATTATACGCTCCTCACCGGTTATGAGTTTGGCCGAGAGTTGTCTCCATCCTTTTCTGGCCTAGTGCTGTTCTTTTCTACTTTGCGCCGGTCAAACTGAAGGTCACATCGCTACAGAAAGTAAACGAAGTATACTTATAGACTTTCTGGGAAGTATCGGGTGCAATTTGTCATTGGGTTTAGTAAATATGAGTTAGATATCTATTATTCCTATTACCGAAATTCCTCAGTCTCGGAATCATCATACACAACTCAAGTAAAGTTGGTTAAATATTCCTTTCAACTGGAGATGCGATTTCTTAACAGATTTTATTGAGCAAATACTTCTTTCCTTGTTCCACAAGGAAGCGTCTTTATGATGAAGGAATTTTCAAAATTGGCTCAGTAAAACTCCTTACTTGTAAGCAACCAAACGCACAGTGTCCGTTTATAATATTGGTATACCTGGATACGCAGTGTTCTGTCCCAATTTGCCTACTGTAATCGAATCAATTTCAACTAGGCGAAATTAGTTTACTCTGAAATTAAATTACTGGAAACACAAATAGATACCTGGTACATAGAGGTGCATGAAATTACACTAGCTGTACATCGAAACGAGCAAGTTTACCACCCTGGTTTAGATCGATGTATGCAGATAAAACATTTGCGACGAAATAATCACCAAAGGATTTCCAAAACGATCAAATTTATCATTGCTAAATTTATATACAAATACATAGCTACTTATAGACAGTTTTTTGTAATAAAGAGTTAAGTTATAATGTATTTACACAGCTGTTTATCTACAAAAATTCCGAATATATTACAAGTATTTCTATTTTTAGGTAACGTTGTCGATATCCATTCTTATTAGTCTCCATGTGTTTTTTTTACTGGTTGTTGAAATAATTCCTCCTACGTCACTGGTAGTGCCTCTTTTGGGAAAGTATCTTATATTTGCAATGATATTGGTCTCAATAAGGTAAACAAAAGATCGAATTGTTTTCTGTTTGGGTAAAGATGCGAGACTAAGTAAATAAGTTGTAACTTGTTTTAGCATTTGCGTCACTGTCGTTGTTCTAAATGTCCACTTCAGGTCACCACAGACCCATAGAATGGCTCCGTGGGTAAAGAGAGTCTTTATTCATATTCTTCCTAGATTACTTGTTATGAAAAGACCACAATATTTATATGAAAATCACAGGTAAGTATTATGTTGAGATTATGCAAAAAAAATTGACGGACTTGATATTACACTCACATAACGAACATTATAAAAAGTTTGCTGTATTTTTAGTTAATCAATTTCTCCAAAGGCCTAGGAATTATCCTGTCAAATTCCATTTGGCTTCATAAATCCCATATTTTATTCATAGGTTTCATAGAAAGCCTCAAATCCTACTCAGTTTCTATTGCAATACCGTCTTTATTCCTGTTGAGCATTATTGTAAGAAAATCCCTCATCTGCCGTAAAAGTCTTGTTATCTATGCATTTGTATAATAAAACCTTTACCTCCCATTCAACGTTCTTATGAAAAACATTTTCATACTTCGATAGATATGTGTCAAAACATCTAATGATGCACGGTAAAGAATCGGAGCCCTACTTTTACCCCTACCAGGCAACAGAAGGAGATAGCGATTACAGCCCGAAGAAGAGCTTAAGCCGTTCTACTTCACACGACGATTTGTCACCTAGGTAAGTAAAATTAATCTTTCCAAATTTGCGGACTTATCGTCTTATACAGGACATTACGTTGCAAACAAGATTCGCTTTAATTTCTGCACCATCATCAATTATAATCATTTAGGTAAGAAGGATCCTTTTTACTAACGTCATTCATACTTGAAATTCACTCAAAAATGAGATACAAAAATTACGTTACCGCAAAATAAATACTTAAAATTCATCAACAGTTATCAAATTCTCTGAAAATGTATTACTGAGGGATTGTAGAAATTCTAAAGCGAAATGCACGGTAGCCGAATAACATGAAGGAAATTGTGTAAGATTGTAATACTTTTTAGGTTGACAGTGGGTCAATTTGGTGGAAGTTGCCAAATTCATGGTCCCGTGGTGATGACGCATTCAGATTCCGAAAACATCACGTTCAACAGGGAAGACATAGATCCTCCAATTAAGAGTCAGATATTCATCAATCCTGCATATTCTCATTCAAGGTGTCCTCCTGAAGTGCATAAGTCATGTCTATGTGTTCGCTTCATAGCGGAACATACGAGGATGCAAGAGGATTCCACTAAGGTAACGTGCTCAATAACACTTTTAATTAAACAAATACACGCATTACGTAGCAACTAGTGCAACATGACTTCACGAAAATTCCAATTGTCAAATTACAAAAGCATCCCTCAAGAGCTTTAAAATGCATTTATTGGACTAATATTTAAGTCATACATTTCAAAAGATTATGCCCCCTTTTGATAGTTGCATGTAGTAGAGCATCCCCATGTTCCTACTTGTCCAAATGTATCCACCATGTAGTCTATATACGATACATATGTGATGGATACGTAAACATAATTATGATGATGTTCTATTGATTCTATTAATCTGGCGGTCTCAACTAAACTGGCTTAGGTTGGACTAACTTTGGTTATAATTTGATCAAACATTGAATAATATTGATCCAGAATGTAGTAGAATAATCTCGATTTTCGAGAGGGAACTGATAGTAGATGAGATCGGCATTCTAGTGTGGGGGCATCAGTTTTGGATATTCACTTATTTTTATTGAAAAAAGTTTTTAAAGTCTTAGTATTCAATGTAACCTTTGCCTTGCCAGATTAACTTGGTGGAAGCTCATGATTAACTCATTTATTTTTGATCGAATCTTCGACTTTACTGCAGGATAATAATGGAATTAGGCGTCACATCACATGATAACACCGTAAACACCCTTTAAAAGCAACTGAGCCACTATATTTTTTATTGACTGACCTCATAATATCCTCCTGTTGTAAAAATACATATGACATTAAATACTCGTTTATAATCTGTCATCAAAGTTAGTGTGGCAGGCAGTCCAATAGAAATTCACATACATACATTCATATATGCTATATACCTACATAAAGTATTATCCTTAAAAAACCATAATTTTTCTCCGATGATATTTATATCGTAAAAAGTGGGTCAATTAATTCGAAAACACTGCGATAATGAATAGAAATGAGTCGTTAGNCAATACCAACATTAGTTTAAAATATCAGAACTTTCCTTCAAAACTATATTTTGTCGAGCAAGTACCTAACCACTACTTTTTAATCTGTATATCGAAGACGCGATCAACATCATTCAAGACAAGTACAACTGCAGAGATAGATATAAAGGGGCAAAAGATTAGTATGCTTAGATTTGTAGGTGATATAACAGTATTAGCATTTAGCAAGGAGGAGTTAGAGATAGCTTTAAATAAAATGGAAACGGTACAGACAAAACAGTACTGTATGAAAATAAATAAAAGTAGAACAAAAATACTCATATGAAAGGGTAGAAAAAGTAAAGATAGAGCGAATATAAATATAGGAGACGAAAAATTAGAAGAAGTGGCCGATTTTAGGTATCTAGGAAGTCAGATAAGTCAGGACGGAAGGAGTAGTAGGGATATAAATCAGAGGATAGCCCAGGAACTGTCGCCTTTAATAAAAAGAAGTCACTTCTATGATGTTTGGAGTACGGCGCTGCACGGGTGCGAAACATGGACAGTGGGCGCGACCGAAAAGAAAAGGTTAGAAGCGTTCGAAATGTGGTATTACAGGCGAATGATGAGGATACCGTGGATAAAGAAGGTTAGAAATGAAGAGGTATTAGAAAGAGTAAGAGAACAGAGGACTCTATGATTAGTAGGACACCTTCTCAGGCATGAAGGTCTAGTCAGAGACATATCAGAGGCAGAAACAGAAGTTAGAGGTAGACTTAGATTAGATTACTGTTCGCAAATAGTTAATGATGTAGGTTACTCTAATGCGAATATTAGCTCAGGATAGGAAAGAGTGGAGTGCGTATCCAACCAGTCTTAGAACTGACGACCTTATGATGATGATGAAGTACTTAACTGTAAGGAAAAAATACAGAAATCAAATTTTGTCACAATTTCCTAAATTTTCCTTTTTCTTGATGTCCATGATAAGTGATAAGCGAATTCCAATGTAACTTATCGTTTTGAAGACCTTACAGATTTCTTCTTTCACTCCCGTCTATATGTAGAATAAAATGTATTTTATATAACCCCCATTTAATTTTATTGATATATGCGAAAATGAAATGGCACACATCTAAACAAATATCTTTCGGGTCGTTGATTGAGCAGTAAAGGCTATTCTTTATTTTACTGTCTCAGTTTTATACGCATCCTTTTTTTATCTTTATGCGAGTTCAGTGTTTCGGAAGCGTTATAAATATGACGGATGCTGGTTTTACTTGCCCATCTTATTTGCTAAGAAGGAATTTTTAGTACTTTTACGGCTGGTTGTCCGTCTTCATCCTTTCTCTTTTTTTTTTTCTTTCTAGAAACGAAAAGTTCTACACCTGCTGCGACGAGCCCTATTTGGATATTACATTCAACATCACGATGCGTCGAAAAACGCTATTTTACACTGTAAATATCATCATCCCATGTATGGGCATCTCATTCTTGACAGTACTCACATTTTATCTACCATCCGACAGCGGTGAGAAGGTAAGGGTGATGTATCGATATCGTTTTTCGCTTAGAGTAAGTAGCCGGCCACTTAATGCCCATCAAATCTATCAAAATTTAAGACATGAAAAATGAACGCCGCCTTAATCCTTCAACCTTAACGTATTTCTTACGCCGATAACGCAGCGTTACGTTTTCTTTATAAAACTGATCCTTTATATCGTCTTAAACACACATTGTCTCACAAATACGGAAAGAAATCAAGCTGATCGATTATTTATGCAACGTGGATATGCAAGATGTATGTTGGGTTACATACCAGCGACTGGAGCGACTTATTTCCTGTAAAAACCGTATAAAAACGATGCTTGCCCCACCGAATAAAGTCTATCTAAATCGATTTACCACAAAATTTAATCAAAATCGAAATTTGTACGTGAAAAATCGTTTAGATGCAAATATGAAGTCGATGGATAAATAGTCTATGCAGCATGGATGTTCACGGTGTATATTTTCTATTAAAACTTTATCACCTTTAGAAGAAGCTGCACACCAAATTGCAAGAAAATCAAAATTTGTATGTGGTTAAACACCTACAAGTACTAACCCCAGTAGCACACGACATTGGCCCAATATCTATTCTATATTGGTACAATATTGTATATGGGCCCAATATTGGCAATTTATAGCCAATATTGGTTATATATAGGAGATACACCTTTTTCCTATATTTTAATAGAATGTTTGTCCGATATTGATCCAATATAAATAAGATATTTGGCAATAGCTTTTATTTATATCGATATGTAATATTTATCCAATATTGGCAATATATACAAGGGATGTACCTTTTCCTTTATTTATATAAAATATTTCTCCAATTCTCATCCAACATTGATAAAATATCTTTGACAAAAGTGAGTCCATATAAAGACACTTTGCCCGGCGCTTGGGTACCAAAATTCTTGGAAGATTGATGGTTAACTTTTAGGTCGCCTAGAAATTGCAACTTAACCTAAGCTAACCGTTAGCCAATATTGGTAATATATAGGAGATGTACCTTCTTCCTATATTTTAATACAGTGTTTATCCGATATTGATCCAATATTAATAAAAGATATTTGGCAATAACTTTTATTTATATTGATATGTAATATTTACCCAATATTGGTAAGTATACAAGGCCGTGCTCC